CGGACATCCAGAACTCAGAAGTCTGGAAGGCCAGGCTCATGGCGGCCCAGCAAGAGGTTCTCAGGCTCCATGGCTCCCAGGCTGGTGTGGAGAAGGTGATCCGAGCGTTGTCGTTCTCCCACCCTCGGTTTGACTCGTCGGCCACACCAATGCTGAAGTACTTGTGCATGATTCGTGCGATGGCGGTCTTATGTGCTATGCAGGCTGCTGACGAGTCTTGTCCTTATGTCAAACAAATTTTAAAATTATTAAATTTAATAATTATTATTTATTTTAATTTAATTATTGTGTATTAAATCTTAGTCTTAGTATGGATTGTATTAATGCATGTATGTGCGGATGTATGTATGTACGTAATTATTATTTTAATAAATTTAATAATAATAATAATAATAATAATAATTTAGATTAATAAATATTAATGACAATGATTAATAACTATTTAATAATATATTAACTTTTATTCAATAATAACTAAGTATGTAGTCTTAGTATTATGTATATGATATGTAGTATGTATGTATGTATGTATGTATGTATGTATGTATGTATTAATGCATGGTAATTCAGTTTCAATGTGTAGTATCTAAATTGAATTGTATGTATGTATGTATGTATGGCATGTACGTATGTATGTATGTATGTATGTAAGTATTATGTATGAGTATGTATGTATGCATGTATGTATGTAGTATGTATTATGTAAGTAAAGCATGGATGTAAGTATGTATGCATGTACGTATGTATGTAGGTATGTATGTATGTATGTATGTAGTATGTATGTATGTATGTATGTGTAGCGTTAAGAAATTTAAAGTATGTATGTGTGTATGTATTATGTATGTATGTATGTATGTATGTATGTATGTATGTATGTATGTATGATACGTATGTATGTATGTATGTATGTATGTATTGTATTGGCATTGTATGTATGTATGTATGTATGCATGTAGGTATTATTAGACATTATTATTAACATAATACAATGTATGTATGTATGTATGTATAGTATGTATGTATGTATGTATGTATGTATGATGTATGTATGTATGTATGTATGTATGTATGTATATTATAGTATGTATGTATGTATGTGTGTATGTATGTATGTATGTATGTATGGCATGTATGTATGTATGTATGTATGTATGTATTGTATGACTGAGTATGAACTAATTTAATAATAATAAATTAAATTATTTTAAACATTGAATGTTTGTATGTATGTGTGTATGTATCGTAGTATGTTATGTATGTATAGTATGTATGTTTGTATGTTTGTATGTATGTATGTATGTATGTATGTATGTAATTTAATGTATGTAAGTATTATGTATGTAGTATGTATGCATGTATGTATGTAATGTAATAATTAATAGTATGTATGTACTCTACGCATGTATGTCATGTATGTTGAAATGTCCGTTGTATGACACACAGGAGAGAAACACGGTCGAGATTCGCTCCCGAGCAGAGCGCGCCTTGCAAAACATGAATGCAGCAGCCCTCATGCGCTGTGGACTCACTCGCGACTACACATCTGAGTGCCTGGGTTTCTTGCGCAGGAACTTTGACATTGAGGATCCAGATGTATCCTGCACCCCCAGAGTGCTGGAAGAGTTCACCACGCGCCAGCGGTTCTTATTTGTGGATGGATACATCCTCTCCGACAGCTCGCAGGTTCCCAGTTCCGTGGACGGCTCCGAGGCTCCAGGCTCCCAGGCTCCCAGGAGATGTGCAACCCAGTTAGTTTACGAGGAGATCCAGACACCAGAGCCGCAACTACCCTGCAAGTTTGTCGTCGTCATAGCGGTTGTGTTCCAGTAGGCTTCGCTGGTATGCCCTCCGTGGCAAACCTAGGATCTTCTATGGCAACAGAGTCCACTACCTGTGCACGAAGGCCGGCATTTCTGATGTAAGGCAGATCATGGGAACTATGGCGCACGTGGTCGAGGCGATGCTGGAGCGTGTGCGAGTAGATCTGACGGAGGATGAGATCGCCGTGGCTCTGCAGGTATTCAACCTTCGGCTGTGGCAGGAGACGAACCGACAACAGGAGCTAGTGGACTCTACACGCAAGCTCTGTGATATGCTCAAGCTTTCGCACGGCACAGCCGTGCTGTTTGGACGATTTGCTCGCAAATTGCATCCTCTTCTAGAAGCAGCTAAGTCAAAGGACCCAGGCTTCGGGAACAAACATGCGTGGTCTTGGTTGCTTCGGCCAGCGTGGCGTGCACTGCATGCACACAAACTTCCATGGACAGAGGATTGTCATGCCCTCATTGCTTTCTTCTTGTCCTTGAAGATCAACACGACCACGCTGGAAAGGGATTTGGGACACTTGCTCACACAGCTGGAGGCGCATTCCGGACCCCTCACTCCAAATGGCTCAACCATTGCCTCCATCCTCGAGGTGGCAGTTGAAGGTCCCCAGCGAGAGGAAGAATTTTTCCGGAAGCCGGAGAGCGAAGGTGCCGTGCTGACCCCAACTGACTTCGGGGTTCTTTGTGGTGAACTGTGGATTCGTCACTTTGGGCGTCGGTTCCGCATGACCTACAACAAAGAACGAAAGCAGGGGCCCAGCAAGCCACGCCAGGCACGTTCTGGAACTCTGGCTGCAATTGTCAGAGGCCGTGAAGCAGCCGCCGCCGAGGCAGCGAAGAGAGCAGAGGCAGCTGCTTCGAAAGGCAGGTCGTGGAAGCCGGCCTCTTTCGTGCCGGGCTTGAGCCTGCCTTTGCCGGCAGCGTCTGCCTCTGCCCAGAACAGCGTTGCTGGCACACGTTGGGCTTTCGCCCGCCCCACACCAGATGCCCTCAAGCATTTGGAGAATTTCCGTGCACGCACACAGCAGAAATATGACGGTGACTCAGCAGCACAACGGTTGCTTTCCGTGCTAAGTCATTTGAAGGGTCATACACATTGTCATTGTCATCCAGCCAAGGTCACCAAGAGGAAGCGCGGAGACGATCCTCTGGCAAGATTGCTTACACAACAACGGCGGCACGGCTTGGCGGTTTGCGCATGGTGCAGCACGGCCACGAGAAGGATCGGTCATCCGTCTTGCAAAGCATCCCCGCAAACGAGCTCTGAAGCTATGTCCGGTCTATCGTCGCTACACGGACAGCAAGTCGCTGCAAGGCAACAAGCATTTCCAGATTCTTGGACCGTACGAGTATGAATCCGCCGATATCCTGGTCCTCGAACAACTGTCCGATGTGGAGACGGTCCGCAGCGACCGACTGGTCCCAAGCTTTTAATTAAAATGTTTAAAAGTCGGATGATGCCAGGCTTAGATCGTCACTGCTGGTACACGTTGACGTGTTTCATCCCAGGTTCCTGCCTTGATCATTGCGTACGGCTGTGGCAAAGTGCTTGCCTCCAGGGAGGCGATTCTGGCATACTTGGACAATCCGACAATTGATGCTGAGAAGTCGTTCTTGTCCTTCAACACAGCTGCAACTTCGAGGCTGGTCGGCCTTGAGATCGCCAAGAGCTGTCAACTGTTGCTCGGTGGCACAGACACTGAGGTTCAAGGGTTTCGGGTTGAAGGGTTTATTGTCTATGGTTGGGTTTGGGTTCATTTAAGTTCAATCAGTCAGGACCCGTGCCATCGTCGAGGCCCTGCGATTCTGTGAGAAGTTGCCCCAGTCGAAGTGGCGGGTTGCTATCGGCACACCACTGCCCACTCAATTTGCTACCAAGAGGCGCACCACCTACAAGATCAATGGAGAGGCCGATATCTGGAATTTCCTCCGCACCGTCCGCGGGTTGTCCCAGAAGCGGACATTGTCCGGTGCTGGTGTACAGATGAGGCATTTGCCCCTCAAGAAACCCAAGAAAGTTCGTGCGTCATAGTCCTGTACTGCAGCAGTTAATGACAGTGCTCTTTGGCTCCTTGGCTCCTTGGCTCCCAGGTTCGCAGGCAGGAATTTTCCTGGGGTCCAATCATTTTAAGTCTAGTCGTTCGCACAGGAATGTACAGGGGGCCTGTGTCGCAAGGCAGGGTTAACCTTGTCTGGGGCAGCAGGTGCCTGCAACAGAGCCTGTTGCAAGCCCCTGCTCAATACACTGCAGATGGGTGCCAATCCGGGGCGTATTGGCAGGACAAAACGGCCTTGCAATTCACTTCCCCTGCAGTTGTTTAATTGCAGGACAATGGTAGGATGCAATACACCATTGATTGGTGCCAATCCCTGGTGTATTGACGTTCCATTTGTCCCTTGCAATAGCCTTCCTCTTTCATTTCAATACAGGCAGGATTCGCGCCAATCGCCGCGGCGCTACATCCAAGGGTGTTTTGGATGCATCCAAGGGTCCCGGCAGCTCTTGTTCCATGCATCCAAGGGGGTTTTGAGTGCATCCAAGGGTCACGTTAGCAGTGCCTTAATGATGAAAGAAGCACCTGTCACCCTTCAATGCACACGAATGACCCTTCAACGCACGCAAATGCCCCTTCAATGCACATGTCACTTGTCACTGCATTGTCTGAGGCTGTTGTCGTCGACAAGCTGGACGTCGAGGGGCAGGCCCAAAGTCGTTTCATTTCAGTCATGGTTGGCTGTGTGGCTGAGTTGTCAGAACATGACAGTTGCATGCGACAGTGTGTTGTGTCAGTCTTGCCATGTCACTATCAGCATCTGATACGAGGCTTCTGCGGCAACAGGCTCCAAGGCTCCCTGGCTCACATAGGCTACTAGGTCCCAATGCCGCCTGCGAAAATGGCCGCAGCCGGTCCTAAAGCAGCCGCCGCAGATATGGCACCCACCATCATCGCCGAGCCGGAGGAGAACCCAGTGATAGAGACTCAGTCTCAGAGATCTTGGTCGCGTCTCGGCTACTGTGCGCTGAGGGCAAGTGACTACGAGAAGAGTGTGGAGGCGGCTTCCGAGGTTGAGAAGGATTCCTATTACGAGTCACCGGAGATCGGCTTCCGTGCCTTGTTTCTGGCGACGAAACTGGACGCCATCACATGGCAGCGCAAGGAAGCCGTGCGCAAGTTGGGGGCGGCCCCGTCTGCTGCAGACAAGCCTGTGAAGGCGAAGCTGCGCTCATCGCGCCGCCAGCTGACAGAAGCCATTGGGGAGACCCAGTTCGTGGTTCTCACACTGTTCACCAAGAAAAATCTGGCCGAAGAGTGCTCTGCAAGAGACATTGTGGTGGAGGATGGCGGCTACTATGTTCCGCTGTTCTCGGATCCTTGCCAGGAGCTGCCTTTCCACGACGAGGCGAACTGGAGCCTGGAATTCGAGTACATCGGACGCCAGGAAGTCTTTTCATTTATTGTTATTTAATTTTATATTAATTATAGGCTCAGGGGTTCAGAGGTTCAGGGGTTCAAGGGTTCAGGGGTTTAGGGGGTTAGGGGTCCAGGGTATTGCGTCCGATCAAGGCACGTCATGGTGCAGGCCACGACCAGCCGCGCCTGGCAGACCCTTGCACCCGGGCCCGACCTTGGCGGGGGTTTGGGCTTCATGTGCTACACGGCGGTCAAGTCGGAGGAAGGCGGCGGCGGCTTCGACATTAGCAAGGAGGACACATCTGCCCTCGTGAACTTCTTGGCCCGGAACCACGTGTTCGCTGCGCAGGGGGAGCCGTTCCTTCCGGATCCCGGTGCATCCCTGTTCCCGGTTTCTTCGTCCACGCACGCAGCGGCCACGTTGGGTTTTTTTGCCCTCAAGCAGCTCGACATGGACAGGCTCGAGTTCAGCTGCGAGGGCGTCATCAACCAGTCACCGCCGGTTCTCCATCCGATGGGGTACTTCTGGATGCTCAAGGGCAATGACCTGGCAGAGCGGATCCGCACCGGCAACGTGAAGGTACGCAGGTCCGGGATCGAGATGGTCATCGTGAGCATGAGCAACCCCAGGAAGCACTCAGACATTCTCCTTGAGGCTCAGCGCTCCAAGCTGGTGGAGCACAAACGGCGCTTGAAGGAACAGGTGGACGTCTCCAACAAGCAGCTCCGCCGCGACCAGGATGCCCTCGCTGCCGTTGATGCCCAGCTGCGGCGTCTCCCAGGCTCCTAGGCTCCCAGGCTCCAAGGTCCATGTGGCGCCGGCTTGGTGTCGTCATGTTTAGAGGACTCATCAGCAGCATAGTAGGATTTTGATGCTTCCTTACTTTGCTGCCAACTTGATTTAAATGGACATGTAAAGCTCAAGCCGCTCGTCGACAAACTGTGGCAGGGCCCACGACTACAAAGGACCGCTGTCGACGTCAGTTTGTGTTTGTTTGCAGCATGTCCTGCACTGCAGCAGTCTTATTGCCTTGCGCTGCACCGCAAGACTCCAAACGGTTCCGTGGAAGGCTACTCGGCTCCCAGGTTCCCAGGCTTCTGTGCTCGCGCTCAATGGCAAAAGTGCCGGATTTGCCCACCGACCCAACCGTTCTGAGCTCAGCATTTTCGGAGCAGTATGACGTGTGTGATGATGATGTGTGGCACGCCATGTGAAGCAGGCCAGTGCTCAAGAAGCCCTGGCAAACATCGTGCCATGGGCCCTTCGCTGAGTTCTTGATACCGTGTCCCGTCTCGCGGCTAACAGTGCTGCATGCCGTGCCTGCCCGAGGTCCGCAGCCAGCTCCCTCTGAAGTTTCCGCAGGCCAAGCAGATGTTCAAGACACCGCCGCTTGCCATCAACGCAGAAGCCAAGATGGGGGATTTGACCGGATACAAGGCGGGCGCATGTCGATCAATGTCATTTATTATTGTTTGACCGTTGTCGTTTGTCAGGCTGTGTGGAGCAAAGATGACTGCCAAGCGTCCCTGACATCATCTGGACTTGACGAAGCCAGTGGCCTCGCGCTGTGGCTGGCCACCGAAGCTTTTGCCAGTGCGTCTGAGGATGTGTGCTGGCAGGATCTCCAAACTTTCGAAGACGCTTTCTTCTCCAAGAAAGTTGCTTTCAGCACAGTTGTATCGCGTGAATCTGCCAAGAAGAAACAAAAAACGTCACGAAACCGGCTGACGTGGCCTTGTGAGATGATTGTCCTCACGGAGTCAGCATCTGACGTGATTCACGAAGAGTTCAACAGCTCGTTGCATCTTGCTAGCGGCGTGTTTGTGTTGTGGGATTGGTACTTGGCCGTCTTCAAAGCCCTAGTCTCCCAGGACAGTTGCTGCTTGTGTTCACATGACATGACATGTTATTGATTCATCTGACTGATGTGTGCTTGCACTTGGCAGGACAAAGCAGTTTTGGAGATTTTGTGGGAGTGTGGCTGCACTGTCACGATACAGGTTCGCTTGTGTTTCAGCGCAGGGGAGATTGCGAAGAGTCGCAATCTTGCTTCAGAGAAAGTCAAGGCACTCGGGCACCCTGGCCTGTCCGACACCTTTTGGACATTTGCAAAGACTGGCCAGCTGCTCAAGGTCGAAAAAGTCCAGGATGGTGAGGAACAGAACTTGAGGTACAACAACACCTTGTACAACAAGGCCTTACACCAGGCTGCCACAGCAGCTGTTGCAGTGCTGCGGGGTCCATCCGGTCCCGTGGAGAAGGCTGCCCGGGGATTGGAGCTGGAATTTGGGCGGGGCATCTTGAGCAGTCAGTACTCGAAGTTGAGCAAGCTGTTATCGCTGACCAACAAGCTCGCATCTGCTACCAGAAACGCTGTAGACCTGACGGCCTGGATGATCGACTCCTTGACGCTGGCCCTGCGCATGAACATGGTCACGCCAGCTAAATGCACCGAGAAGTTTCTGGATCGAGACCGGAAGACAGGCGATGCTGGCTTTTGGTTGTCGCGCATGCTGGGGGTGCAGGCATTGTAACTATTCTGACTAGCGTGTGTATTTTTTTTTTTGCGGAGTGTTGCAAGTCATCGGCAGCTTGAACACTGACAGAGGTCTTCGATTATGCAGCAAAGCTGGCGAACAAGTTGCCTGAGCCGGACAAGGTTAAGCTGACAGGGATTTTGGCTGAACTCCGTTGCCCTTCCACATGTTGGGAGAAATAGCTCTGCCATGCTGATGCTGATCAAGGGGCTGCTGGAGAGGACGACATGGACGGCGAGGACCCAGAGGACGTGGAGCGCCCTGTTCCGCAGTCCAAGATTGGAGCTGTTAAAGAGGGTTTCAACAAAGCAATTGGCATGCTTTTGGATTTGCTGCTGGAGCTGATGTCGGGGAAGTACTACAAGGATTGCTGCATGCTGGCTTCGAGTGAAGATGGCCTTGCA